ATCCTTACTTCATTTATAATGAAGGTATTAGACAAATGCATGACAATTTCTATTTAAAGTTATACATTAATTTCTCCACAAATTCTAAGACATTAACTGAAAAATGTTGAATTGCATATTTAAAAAAATCATACATTGATTTTCCAATCATCAATCAATCAGAATGTGAACTTATATGGAAATAGGGATTTTTTCAGATGTAATCATTTGAACTAAAAGGAATATGGGAATAGGATTGGTACCAAATTGAATATGACTGGTATCCTTATAAAGGAATGTCATGTGAAGAGACATATATATGCACAGGAAAAATGACATGTGACAATGAAAGCAGCAGTTGATGTAATCTTTCTATAAGCCAAGAAACACCACAGACTGCCATTATACCATCAAAAATTAGGCAGAGAGGCATGGAACACATTCTTTCTCATAACCCTGTGCTGACATCTTGATCTTAGGATATTTAGTCTCCAGAATTGTAGAGACAATACATGTCTGTTATTTAAGCCATTGAGTTTGCAGTACTTTATTACAGCATTCCCAGCAAGCTAATATAAAAACCTTCCATTAATTCTTCTAATTTTTCAATCATGCAGTAAGAACAGTGGAATAAAAATAAATAGTACCTAGTAAATAGTAAATCAGTAAGCTTAAAATAGTAAAAGCATGACTTATATAGTGTCTGCACAAGATGAGAAACCTAGTATAATTGAAACAATAAAAGTAAATATTTATCAACAGATTGGCCAAATTAACCAACTACATATAATAAATAAAGGCTAACACTGTGTTCTAAATTTCTTTGCTACTGGGTTAATAATTAAATAATAGATTCTACAAAAATATTCTAATCATACTGTTAGTATAATACAGAGTTCCTCTGCTCATTCATAATTTACCTATCTACCTACCAATCTTCAGATACCCTATTTATTTTTTGGTAATGATAAACTGCTGAAAATTAGCATGTTGAATATATCACAGATATATCACTTAAGTCATACAAATAACTCAAGCATTACAGATAGGGTCTTTTCATTTTCCCCTTTTCTCTACAACCCTTACTGCAAGGTATCTTTAGGTATGAAAAAAGTGGCAACATGATCAATAAAATTCCAGTAGTTTCTTTTACTGTGTAGAAGATTTTTAGTTCAATGAAGTCCAAGAAACTATCCGTGAAATGAAAAGACAGCCAACTGAATGGGAGAAAACATTTGCACATCATACATCTATTAAGAGCTGATTTTCAAGATCTACAAAGAATCGTACAACTCAGCAAACACAACCCAATCAAAAATAGGCAAGAGACTTAAACAGATATGTCTCCAAAGAAGATGAGGCCAACAGGCACCTGAGAAAAAAAAAATTGTTCATCATCACCATCAGAGGAATGCAAATTAAAACCACAATGAAATTTGATCTCACACCTATGAGAATGGTCCATAGCATAAAGTTCAGATACAAGTGCTGTTGAGGGTATGGAGTAAAATGAACCCCTTATACTGTTGGTGGGAATGTATACTGGTCCAGCCCCTATGGAAAACAATGTGATTTTTCAAAATATTAAAAATAGATCTACCACTTGATCCAGCAATTCCACTCGTAGGTATCTAATGTAAAAACACTAATTCAAGGCATAAAAATAATTCAAGCATTACAGATAGGGTCTTTTCATTTGCCCCTTTTCTCTACAACCCTTACTTCTATTTGTACTTCTATGTTCACTGCAGCACTATTTACAAGAGCCAAGTTATGGAAAATCCTAAGTGTCCAAGTAACAGGTGTGGACTAGAAAAATGTGGTATGTATATTCTTGCCTTTTGCAACAATATGGATGGAACTAGAGGGGACAAATGAAATTAGAAGGAAAAAGATAAATACTGGCTGAGTTCACTTACATGTGGAATATACAGAAAAAAAAGAGTCAAAGAGTCAGATAAAACCAAAACAATAACAAACATAGAAATTGAATATGGAACTGAGGTCACAAGAGGGGGATGGGGGAAAGACAGTGGGGAGGGAGACACAACTGTCTATGGTAGAAGATTATGGATGCCTTGGTGGTGGGAGGAAAAAACATGCATCTGAGAAAGTATGACCCAATATTACTTAAATAAAAAATAAAATTCCACTAATTTATCTCCCCTTAACCAATTCATAAGACTGACTGACATAGTCTCCAGCTTTATATATTTATTAGTTTTATAATATGTTGAATAGTCCAAGGCACAACACTGTTTAAATACCTGAACATCTGTCTTCACTGTGGCAGAGCTGCACTATTATGCAGAATGCGCTGTTTATTCCACAGGCCTGTTTATGCCAATTTTACTCATCAATGTAATTATAGAATCCAGTTAATACTATGCCAACCAATGAAATATGGATGCAAACAACTTAAGATGTGGATTCCAATAATGGAATGTTGTGGGAAATCTTGATAAGGGCAAACCAGTCAAAAAATTGCTGTCAAATTTAGTATGGTTGAAACAAATATTAGATTGGGAGAAAAAGTCTTTAAAGCTAGAATTACTTTCACTCAACTTTGTAAGTATCTTTAAGTTCTTATTCTCTTTAACAAATTTTGAAGTGAAAATCATAGATGATTATGGGTATGCTTTATATTAAAATACCATGAAAAACTTTATTTAATGGGCCATACTCAAAGAAGAGAACTGGCTCTACATCACAAAATTGGTGAATAAACACATATGTTTATGCTTTATATTAAAACAAGAAGGATATATTTTATATGAATTTCTCTAAAATTCCCTGCTTAACATAAATATTTCAATTAAGCAACAAAACTACTAGTTCTGATCTAGCCAGAATAGGACAATATCAAATATTTTGTTTTCTACCTAAAATGATAAGTAATCCTTCTCTCTGCATGGACAGAAAACTGGGTGGAAGCAAATAACTGAGATCTAGATCTTGTTGGGAAGGCTGAGAGCTAAATGGAAATAAATATATGAAGATGAGAGAGGGAGCTATACAAAAGAAAATATCTACAGGGACTGTAAAGTTACTGAACAGGAAGCCAAAAAACAACAAATACTTTCTATTTCTTCTGGATTTAGATGTATTCATAAGTAAATTTCTAAAATACAGATTTTTATCTATTATAGACTAAAGCAGCCTTTCCATCTAAAGCTAAATGTTGAGGGCACAATTAAACTGTTGCAAAATAAAATTAATCTTATTTGACAGAGAGAACAAAATGGATTGACCTCTGAGGTGAAGCACAAAACAGTATATAGTGGTTTTGACTGAGGACAGAGTCCAGTTCAGAGTTCATGCTGAGTATCATGTCGCCTGGTCAACAAATGCTATTAGGAAAATTACATAATATTTAAATGGTTGAGAGGTTGCAAAGGTATTAATAAAGGAATATTTTTATTTGTTTATTAATTTATTCCTGCAAAGTAGATTCTTTGTTTTCATCTTGGTGGCTTCAAAGGACAGACTTTAAAGGTTATGTCCATAAGAAGGAATAAATGCAGGAAGTTTTACAAGGCAAAGGGTCAAAAAAGTTTTACCAGGTCAGAACTTCTCTCACTAGTCCTACATCTGGCCACCTACTACCGCACATGCAAACAAAAGGTCTTTTGGTACAGCAAAGAAGAAAAAATTATTTTAACCAACAGGCTAAAAAGAGAGGGAGACAGCAGACTGTAGGGTGTGGCAGAGGGTTGCTGCTGCTGAGGTCAGGGGTGTCCTCCATCAGGGGGCAGTGGTGAAGGACCACCTCTGATGGACTGCCTTCCCTGGCGACACCAATGAAAAAATAAGTCTAAGTCCCTTGCTCGCTATTAAAGCCTCTCCCCACAAAATGGCTACTCAGCTCTGCCCCTTCCCAACAACCTCCCCACCCACCTGGAACCCAGCTCAGAACATCAGACACAGTGTGCAGATCCCAGCACAGGCGTCAGGGAGCAGAGTTTTGCCCCTCATCTGCACCAGCTGTTCCAACAGGAGGAACAGAATTGAAAACTTGAAAAAGAACTATTTGATTTGAAACCTTTCAGGAAAGAAATAGAATATAAAAATCTCATCCTTAAAAGATCCGTAAATTTCTTGTAAATAAAATTGTATCGTGGTATTTCATTATTGAACCATAGTTCCAACACTGTCAATTCAAGGATTAGTTAAAAGAAAATGATTGAATGTCCCAACTTGATTCATTGAAGACATAATGTAAACAATACATGTTGTGAAGGTCTAAAGACATAAATTATTTAAGCAAAATTAACAAAACAAAGAGCTCCAGAAAATACTAATAAGGGAAAATGTGTACCTACAATTAAAAGTGACCTTTCTATTTTCCATCATCTAAATTAATTTGCTACTAAAATTTCTGTAATGTATTTCTTTGATCCTTAGAAATACCTTTTTTACTTATCATGTATTATTTGGATTATATCATATACCAAAGTTACTTTATACATTTTAATACTTATAATAACCTAAACAAGAAAACACTGTCTTTTCAATCCAAATCTCTTAGTTTTGAAATGTTATCATTGGGGATTGACAAAATATTCACATATAGTACTAAAAATTTACTATACAAAATTTGAGCAAAATTAAGCTGTATTTTCGTTTACATTGAATATTGTTTAAATAGATTGAAATATTCAAAGGGAATCTTAGATTTAAAACATCTAGATATTTTACTCCCAAATAGCGTATTCAACTCTCAAATTTCTCTTCACACATTTGTATAAATGGAATGGCTTATTCATTATCCTATTTTTTCTCCCCAGTTCCCAGTTTTTTTTTATATTTAAATATTATATTTGAACTCATTTCAAAACTAAATTCAGTAGCAAAACTGTATTTTTAAATTAAAAAATTAATGCAAATGGTAATATAACAAGATTTTGAATATTATGATTTAGCTGGACTAGGAAAAGATGGTTTGTGTTCTTTATTTTTATTTCCTAATGTTTGATTTGGCTACATGCTGATGAGTATGTGAAAAAATGGTCTATGCTTACCTTATGAAAATGAAATTTATGACCATTATTGTAGGATGTCTCAGCACTGCCACTTTAATGGTGTAGCTTAACTAAAAGCAATGAGAAAACAATTAGTACTTTAGGAGAGTTTTGTTTCTATTTCAAAATCACTATTTACTATTCTGAAAGACTGAATTTTGCATTAGAAAGATACTGAGTAGGGGCCTCCCCGGTGGCGCAGCGGTTGAGCGCTGGGTTGCGAAGCTGCCCGCGGCCTCTGTGGCGCCGGTTCAATCCCCGGCTGCTCTCCGGCCACTGGAGGAGGGTCCCACATGGCGTGCAGACCTCTCCTGCCGCCCGCTGCTCCCCTCAGCAGTGTACTTCGGTCCTTCTGCCTGCTCTGCTCCCCGCTCTGGCTCTGGTGAGTTCTCTCACCCTCCCGCGCTTCTGACTGTACCCAGTGCATGTATAAACAAAACAAACAAACAAACAAATAAATAAATAAATAAATAACATGCCTCTATTAAAAAAAAAAAAAAAGAAAGATACTGAGTGATTTAGATTGAAAAATTCTGAAAAAAATATTGAAATCAGTACTTAGGGTCTTGCTCTCTTATTTTGTTTTGAACCTACTCTAATCAAGCTTTCATCATTTTAATTTCATTGAAGTTTCTCTTATAAGGGAAGTCAATGATTTTCATGTTATTCAATCCAGTTATCAATTTTCAATCTCCTACTATTTGACTGCCAGCCACACTGATATTTATTCTCTCCACAGAAGATTAAAAATGATTGTGGGAAAAAAAATGAATGTAGATTCTTTGGCATTGTTCTCAGTGAGCATGGAGGTCTATATCCCTTCCCCTCAAGTGGTGGAGTCACACTGAGCCAGTTTGGGACCCACACCTTTAGGCACTGGTAGCTTCTACCTCTTGTATTGGGGAAGACATTTCTCCTTGGAGCCTTATGCAACATGTAATAAGTAGGGTTGGCGTGAGATTGCCATGTTGGAGAGACTATTTATTGGTGCTCTGGTAAACCATCCCAATTGAACTTAACCTTCAACACACCCTGATAAGAAGACAGACACGTCTGTGAAACTGTATGGGACAGTCCACCTGCTGAGTATCATTGAAGACCACAGTCAATGCTATGCAAAGCAAAATAAACACCCAGGTAAGTCTTGCCTGAATTCCCTGATTCCAAGCAACAGAAACTTGGAACTAGTGCCTTTTTAAATTACAATTTCTTTATACTGCTTCCAGGACAGCAACATTTTCATGGTTTTATTCCCACCTCAGTGACAGCTTATTCTCTTTTTTTTTTTAAAGATTTATTTATTTATTTATTTTTTATTTATACAAGAACCGGGGTACAGGCCAGATTTGTGGGAGGGTGAGAGGATTCACCAGAGACAGAGTGGGGAACAGAACAGGCAGACTCACGAAATACACTGCTGAGGGGAGCAATGGGCGAGACAGGAGAAGTCTGCCTCGTCATGTGGGACCCTCGCCAGCCGGCTGGGATTGAAACGGCACTGCAGAGGCTGCAGACAGCTCCACAGCTCTGCGCTCATCCACCTGTGCCACCAGGGGAGGCCCTTATTCTCTTTCTGTTAGTCATTCCTTTACTGATTCTCTCATTCTTTATTTAATGTGCATATCCCTGGAGTCAGTCATTTGTCCTCTTCATTTTCTTTCTGTATGTAAGCTTTTTGATACTCTAATATAATCTCATAACTTTAAATGACATCCATGTGCTAATAGATCTAAAACAAAACTCACACCTAACAGCCTATTCAAACTTCTAACTACATTTCCTATAGTAAAACCAAACTAAACAGTTCTAAAACCAAACTACTGATTTTCCCTCAAAGGCAAGTATCCGTTATTTCAGTGACCATCAGAAAATCACAATCATTCAAACTAGGTACTTTCAAAATAAAAGGTGTACTATGTTGGATTATAGGTACAAATCGAGATGGAGAAAACTAGGATGTAGACTCATTCATCCTAGAGATCCATTCTTCAATGCTAAGATTAAAAGAAAAAAACACACAAAAAAAACCTTTTGTCACCTCTGACTCCTGTCTTTCTCTTATATAATCATTATCAAATTCTTCCCTTACTATTATAGTCACTCTATGCAAACTATCCCAGTTTCACTCAGAGTCAAAAATCAAAGTCCTTAGTAGGAGCTCCAACACTACAGTGTATGTTCTGATTCCCATCCCTTCACTACTATATTTTTCACATTCCTATCCCTTGCCCAGGCTGCTCCAACTACACTAGCCTCCTGGCCTTAAAGTCTTTGTATTGACGTCCTTTTGCTTAGAATCTCTTCTAGATAACATCTTGGTTTGTTCTCTCAACTTCTTTGTTACTGTCCCAGTGTCATTGTCTCAATGAAGACGCCCCTGACCACATGTTTAAAATGTATGACCTTCCCACCGAGACCCCACCTGATGTTCCTGATAACCTTGTAACATGATGTTTGATTTACTCATATATGAGTTTATTTGATCAAATAAACTGATAAAAGCAAACTATTATGTTGACCACTGCATTTCAAGTATCTGGTGTGATGGCTTACATCGAGTAGATGCTAACTACTTAGTTATAAATAAAATAATACATGAATAAGCAGTATGATATAGATTATAGATGTGGCCATAGAAATTGCTTTGGTCAAGGCTAGGTATGGAAAAAAAGAAAGTTTAAGCCAACATTATTTGTGTGTTATTTTGATGTAGTTAATGTTTTGATATGTGAACACTATTTACATTTTAAACACTTGTATTTTCTTTCAGAGAGCTATTTTGTATTTGTTTTGTCATGTACTTATTCTTTATGACTGAAATTATTAGTAATGCTTAGCAAGAAGTGACAGATATATGCAATCTGCTACATTATACTGCCATATTGATAATTTTGTCAGCTCTGTGATTGTAATCCTGTATATTTTGATTTATTTAAATCCCACATTGAAACATTTTTGTCTTTACCATTTTATATAAAACCTAAAAGTAATTGTCTCAAATACAAATTATTTTTAAAAACTTGAAACTGCTGTATCTTTAAAATAGAACTGTATCTCTCATTTTGATGTGGTGTTAAAAAAATATTGTGTAGATCTCTCCCAACCTGATGAGGCTGTGAAATGCTCTTATCACAGCAAATGTTAACACTTTATAACAGATTGACTACCATATAAATTGGGTAATTTCTTAGTCATTTAAAATATGATCTTTCCTGGATATATTTTTGGTTCTGTTTAAATTGTGCTTGAGTCAGATATTTATGGTATAGAAGAAAAACTAGTTATTCAAGATGTAAAAAGTCTAAATAGTGGCAGTTTTGTATCTTTTTTCTTTTCATGAACTTTTAATAAAAAGTAATTTTTTGGTACTGCATAGTTTAGAAGATTACTAAAAAAGTCTTTAAGCCTTATGAAGAAGAAATGTCTTTATTGCACATAAAACAATGTGTTTGTGTTTATTTATATTTTGTCACATTACCATTGGTTATTTATTGTGCATACCTTGTGAAATAAAATAATTATTATATTTTATAACACAGGTAGTCAAATATGATTCTTTAACTTAGGTTCACTAAAAGATTTTGTCTTTGATATTCATTTGTGTTTAATTTCCTTAAATCAAATTGGTATTTCTGACTTTGTGATGTATCTCAAAAAAACCTATAACTCCCAAATATATAGCTACTGAATAAGTTTATAAAGTAAAAACACTAGATTTATGTAATAGGTTGGTGCTCAAAAAATATTAGGTAACTAAATAATTGGTGTTTTTATAATGTTTATGCTGTGAATTTTAAAATTATTCTTGCCAAAATGCCAAAGAACCTAACAGAAAATACACACACAGATTCTTAGTGAAGTATTTCTCAAAACATACTTACTGAAAAAAAATTTACACAAAAGGGCACAAATGATATAATTATAGGAGTTATATCACACACAAAATTAATTTATGATATGGGAAAAAATCAAAACACTTGTTTTCTACTACAGTGTAGGAGTGAAGACTGAATGGGAAAGGCATAGGAAAAAACTTTCTAATTGATATTTTCTGAATAATAGCTGCCATAATAAAGGATGTTTACATAGTTGTATGTATTTGTCAAAGCATAGAATGGTAAATGGTACAAAGTACACTTAATTATATATAAATTTTACCAAAAAAAAAAATGTAGACAAGTGTTGAAAACTTAAGTCAATGACATGCACATAAAGCATTCATAGCAGTTTACTGTAACATTTTTAAATTATATATGTGCTTATAAATTTTCATAATAAAAAAGGAAAAAATTCCAAATCAAAATTTATATTTCAATTTTTTTAAAGTTTCCAAGGGATATTTCATGAAGTTTATTTCCCTTTTTAAAATATAATGCAGAATCTGGGCCTCCCCGGTGGCGCAGCGGTTGAGCGCTGGGTTGCAAAGCTGCTGGCGACCTCGGAAGCGCTGGTTCGATCCCCGGCTGCTCCTCGGCCACCGAAGGAGGGTCCCACATGGCGCGCAGACCTCTCCTGCCGCCCGCTGCTCCCCTCAGCAGTGTACTTCGGTCTTTCTGCCTGCTCTGCTCCCCACTCTGGCTCTGGTGAATTCTCTCACCCTCCCGCGCTTCTGACTGTACCCAGTGCATGTATAAACAAAACGAACGAACAAACAAACAAACAAATAAATAAAAACATGCCTCTAAAAAAAAAAAAAAAAAAAAAAATATAATGCAGAATCATGAGGTAAAAACTATGTAAGACTAAACACTGATTATGTAATTTCATTGTTACATTTTATATTAACCTTTCTTGAACTCTATATTGATTTGTGTCATTGAATAATATAAAAGTAACAGAATGTTTCGGACATGAATTAAATAAGAGAAACAACTCCAATTTGAATTTAAAAAACTTACTTTTATCTTCTCTCAGAACTGTTGTATATATTGCTAAACTTTCTAAATTTTCTCTGAAGAGCTCTAATATAGGTAATGAGGGCCTAGAGAAAATATGACAGAAGGAGTAAATTGCGTACTTTCTCAGTGTCTACTTTTCTCATAAACCTACCCTATCTTCTCTGCTAACTCGA